ATTGAATAATAATTATATTTTTTTATTGTATCATATAATAGTTATTATTAAAATTAATAATTATATTTTACACTAAATGATATATAAAAGTTACACAAATATAAGAAAATATATAGCAAATATTTTTTGTTCAAGTTATTCTAAAATCAATATTATATATTTTTTATGTGATTAAGTGATTTTTTTTAAATAAATTAAATTTTTTATGTCATAGTAAAATTCTTTAAAATTGTATAAGCAATTATTATAATAAATTTAATATTTTCTAACTAATTAATTGGTCATGATGTCTCAAAATTACAAAATTACACCATTTATTACATTTTATACGATCAATATAGTGATTCATATGTAATCAAATCGTTATGTACTATTTATTTTAACTAATATAATGATCAAATAATAATACAGAATACGATTATCTAAATTATTATTTTAATATTATATCCATAAATATAACTTATAATACTCTATATTTGAAATATAATATCATTATTTAACTTATAATTTTAATATTATATAATATAAATAACTTATAATACTTCATTTACATATCTATCTATATATATATATAATAAGAATTAACATATATCACATTTAGAAACTTTTTCCCGCCAAAATGTATTAATTACATACTATAAAAAGTAATCTTCAAATATATTTTAATTAAACACGAATGGACTGCATTGATTGCGTCCCATATATCTTTTCCTTAAAAACCGGATTCTATTTAACAAATCATTTAGCAGATTTTTTCTTTGCATTTTCGAACTAAAAATCAATTTGGAGAATTTCTGGTTAAAGATCCATTCCTAATGTTATGGCTAATTTTTCGGTAAAATCTAACTTACACGTTTGCATGTCAATCTTAATTTAATATTTTTCCTATAAACACAATATTAAAAATCTTGAATTAATATTTTTCATTTCAGATAGCCCTTGGAAAGTGGATTTTGTTATGATATTTAGTTGTTGTTATATTATCGAATCTTTAGGCAGAATTTTGCTTTGCATTTTGTTTATAAATCTTGACGGAATATCTTTCAATAGCGGATAGACATAATAATTTAGCCCATCAATACATATTATCATAGCTTTTAAACCCGGCCTGGGAATCGACCCGGGCAGGTTTCCGTGTCACCGGGTTACTGGTTCAACCGTCGGGTCACCGGTTCAATTGTTAAACTGGATAATTAATTTTAAAATTTTTAAAATTATACATACAGTACTTTATCATATAAATATACATAAAAGTAACAAAATTAAATTTTTGAATATAAAATTTGTACATTAATGTGTTCATAATATGTATTTCATGATAAAAATTTGCCATATAAATATATATACATAGTTTTATTTTTTAAAAACAAAAAATATTTTAAAAAATAAAAAAAATATATTTATATAGGGGTCGGATCCTTTGTTTCCTGGTACGAATAGTCTACTCGGACCGGTTCCGGCTCCGGGTCAACCGGGTCCCACGTCGACCCGCCGGGCCGGTCCGGGTTGAAAAACTATGTTAAATCATGTTTAGAAAGTTTTTCCGCCATAAACATTAATTACATACTAAAATGGTAATTTTAAAATTTATTTTAAATAAAGAAAAATAAGCATTAATTGCATTCATTATAATCTATATATCTATATCTATATATATAATAAGAATAAGGTTAATTCATTATTAGAAAATATTTTCCAGCCAAAAATATTAATTACCTACTATAGATGGAAATAATATAATATATATTTAAATACAAATAAATAAATCACTAATACATAGTTTTCATAAAACTAGACTTTCAATTTATGTATGTTTTAGTCAATTCTCAATTTTCTTTATTTACGTTGATAATTGTTTGGTAGGCAAACGGTTATGTAAATAATTATGCAACCGATTTCAGAATTCTCATTTATGGAGGATTTTTTTTTTATTTTAGTTATATGATTACTCAAATATTTTAATAAAAGAACGATTTATTATGAGATATATACAAATCTCTTTTTACGGTGACACGTTCACAAATCTTACATATGTTATATAATATTTTATGTGTTTTTAATATTTTAAACACACTATTTAATGTTCTTTATATAATTAAAAAAGTATAAAAATATTAGTAAAAATTATTTAGCTAATAAAGTATGATCGATATTAAAATGATAAATTAATAGCATATTTAGAACTACCGTGTAAATTATCCTATGATAAATAAATCCTTTCGATCTTAGGTTTCATTTAAGTTCCAACGGCACCAGTTCCTACTTATAGTTTTATATGCATGATGATAAAAGAAAATTCGTTTTTAGTTATGGTCAATTGTATGTTATTGGTTCTTGTGTTTGTAATATAAAGGAGTTGAAAATATTAGGTTATGGGACGACGAGTTGCCCATGAATTAAACTAATAATGTTGTGTACAAAGAGATTTTTAATAATATAGTAATTTGTGTGAAGAACATTTTTATGGTTTGACAATTTCTTTACATATTATCACACTTTTATTTATTAATACACTTCAATTTATAATATTTCACTTTTTTATTTATTAATACACTTCAATTTATAATATACCCTCAGAATAATATCCCGTGTATCGCACGGGATACGTACTAGTGTGCAATTATACAGAATCAATACTAGTTTTAAGGGTGAGTTTATCTATTTTTCGGGTTTATCTCCATGTCTTAAAAATTATACGAAACTTTCGGTAATTAATAATGTAGCATCATTCTCCTCGTTTCATAAGCAGTTAAAGATCACACTACACATAATAGTCCAATTGTAAATATGAGTTTTTCTTTTAGAATTAATAATTTATATTATGTTCATTGTATCTTTATTTGTCAAAATGGAAAAACGAAGTCAGTACTTTTTATATATATATATATATATATATATATTTTTCAAATATTTATGCTAAGAATATGTGGCCCAAAAGTATTGAGCTCACAATTAAATATTTATTAGATTAGGCCTTTATTTAATTGTCAAATAAATCTGAACCATTAATATAAATATTTGATGGATGTATCACATCTAAAGTCACCTCTATATAAATTATTCTTCTTTCCTCCAATTAGAGTACGCAATATTTTCCTCTACGTTAAGGAGCGGTCAGGAGGGAGAAATTAGTTTAGATCAAGAGAAGAGAATTGATCGAGCCAGTGTGCTCATTAAAAACACAATTATGTCGTCTTTCGCATCAAGTAAGTATTTTGTATACACTAAATTATTTATTGAACATGTGTATGAGAGCATGCATTGTGGATAGTAATTTGTTGTATAAATCGGACGAGCATGTCTGTAAATAATTGAATAATGTTATAACTGTTGTTTCGTGAATTTCGCATCATAATTACTTGCAGGGCCGGCTCTGGCCCAGGGCCCAATAAGAAAAGGGGCACCAAACAATGCAACCCATAGAGTGTATATATAGATACTAAAGAAGGCCCAACACGTAAGCTTTTTATAATCTTATTAATTAATATTAATTTGATGGCACGATTCCCGAACAACTCTCCTCTGTCAATCTTTCACCAATAACTAAATAAATAAAAAGTAGAAAAAGGCCCACCATTTTAATGCAACTAGAAAAGTAAAGCATTCAAAAAATATGCTGAAACTTGAAAGTGTTGATCCTCACTTCAACTTTCATATTTCTCAATATTCAAATTCAACCAACCAAATTTTATATTTTTTTTATTTTATGTATTTGATTCAATTATTAGCAAAAAGTGTCATTTTCTTTTAAAAACTTTAAGGGTTACCCATCAAAAAGAATATTACAAAAAATCTATATAATGATTATATACAAGTTATCCCTCAACTAAGTTATTCTTTTTATAATGATTCTCGTTTTGTTAACATTCAAGATAAGTAAATAAATAGTTAAAAATACTTGAATTCTATATAATATTTATTATGTCTTTTTTGTTAGATCAATTTTATTTAAAGAATTATTATATATTAGCATTATTAAATGCGATTATGATTTTACTATTAAAATTATATAAAAAAATAAGAACGTTTTAGTCCGTTCATTTTTTTTAAAAACAAAATCACTCCTTGTTTTGTTAAATTCTAGATAAGTAAATAAATAATTAAAAATATTTGGATTCTTTAAAAATATTTATTATCCCTTCTTTTGATGAATCAATTTTCTTGAAGAACTTTTATATTTGAATTATTGAATGTAATTACGATTTTATCATTAAAATTATATTAAAAATAAAAACGTTTTAGTTCATTCATGTTGTTACAAAATTACAAAAATTTCGATGCTACATGTGGGGACACTGTCTCCACATGCTTTTTTATTATTGACTAGTATTTGATTATGTGCATTTGCACATATATAAAACATGTTTTTGTTTGTATTACTTTTTCTTAAGTTATTTTTATCATTCAAAATTAATTAAGATATAAATTTAATTTTAACCATGCAACGTTTACATTAGTAACATGAATAAAATAATTTATATATTTGTGGCATATATTAAGAAAATTAACATAAATAAAAAAAATATTGGTATTTCTGATTTTTAGAAAGAAAAAAAAATGTGTCAATCATATTTTTCTCCAACAATGCAACCAAATATAGCGGTCACAGCTCTGAATGTGTCAATCAGCTTTAAGTTCCAACATTAGCCGTTTCACATTTGAATATTTTGCTACCAAATTTAGAAATAATTTAGTATATATATTAAGGTGTAACGGTTTTAGCAGATTAGTGAGTAAATAATTAAAAAAAAATGTACTCCTTTTAGAGGGAAATGAAAATAAGTTTTATTAAATATTTTATTAAATACATCAGCTAATAATTATATATATATATATATAGATTTCACACACCCACGTGGGTGTGTGTGTGTGTGAATATGTGTAGATCAATGATAAAAAAGCATGTGAAGACAGTGCCTCTACATGTAGCATCGAATTAGCCCAAAATCACACTTCTTTTTATAAAAATAAATAAATAATAATAATTTAATAATAATTAACAATAATGACTTTTTGGTCCGTTCATTTTTATTTATTTTTTTACAAAATCATTCCTTTTATACTACCAGATAAATGAACAGCAGAGAAACCAACTCCTTAATAACATCTCCCTTGTAGAAGTACCAAATATGACAGTATACTTGACCATACCTCAATTCAGTTACAATTTACAAACCAATTCCTGCATTTACAGCAACACAGAGACTGCGCCTATTGAGACGATTTCTCTAAATATTCGAACATGCACGTCCCGCATAGACTGCTGCAAACCAGCTTTAGTTAAAAGTTTATTCTAAGGTGACTGCCTCGACTGTAACAATCTTGTATCTCTCTATTTACACGCACTTTGGCGGAAAATGCAGGGACTACAGTAATGTTTGGGGAAGATAATGAAATCCCCACTCCCACATCTCAGTCTTTCAGCTAATGGCTTCAGCAAGAATCTGCAGGACATCAAGATCCGGACTGCAGAGGGAGAAGAGATCCTTTCTTTCCACTGATGAAAAACGAGAGCTCGGCTGGCGCAACCACCGATTTCAGCCATTCTTGAAGCTCTTCCCCTTCTACTTTCTCTCTTTCTAAAATTGTCAATTTTTATAGAATCAGTGTGTAATTTTAGAAGTTTTTCTGTAAAATCAGATAAGACAGTCATTTGTGCATCATATAGCCCACCAAATTATTTGAATGGAATTATTTTCTGAACACAATTTCTTTTCCGACGTTTTCTCAGATTGTTAATCAAATAAAAATTGACACTGTAATGCAAGGAAATAAAGAATAAAAAAAAAAAGTAAATAAATAATAGCAATTCAGATCACCTTCCAAGTGGGCCCCAAGACCTTCCAAGACGGCAGGGTTTGCACGAACTACAGAGAGCGCTACATCAAGTGCCGATTGCAACAGGGCCTTAACCTCTTGCTGAACAAGATCAACAAGGTGTCCCTGTCAAAATTAAAAAAAGAAAATAATAAATAAAAAAAACGACGCGTTTACTACATATGCAGTGTGGGTCAGGAAAGCATAAAATGAAAAGTGGCTGGCTTGATTGTTTATGAAATAATTTACTCACATTTATTTCATACTCAAAATCTAACTCAACTTTAACTCAACCCCACTATTTTTGATATTATTCATATAATTAAATAATACAAACCAATCATTCTTACACATCATATCAACTTTAATTCACTATTTATCCACTCACATAATTTTAACTACCAATTATTTCTAATCATTTATCTCCTACTTTTACATCAAATCAATTTTAATCATTTTATTTTAAATATTATTTTGATACATTCTTAAAATTCCACCAACTATACTACATTTTTCAAAATTAACTATGGTTAACCAAAATAATTCATTTTGAACAAATTACTTCATAATCAATCAAGCCCTAAAGATAAAGGAATAGAAAATGAGTTGAGAGTAAATACTTGGTCCCTCCCCCAAAGAGAAGATCCCCCGGACTCGCCCATTCCACCACCAGAGAGAGTTGCCAACGAGACTGGGCCTATGGTTTCATTAAGACCATATTCGGCCACGGCTTTGTAAGCCATATCTGTTGCTCGTCTTATGTCGTCAAGAGCACCTGTCGATACACGTCCTGAATATATAAACTCTTCAGCTGCTCGGCCACCGAGAAGCGTGACAAGACGCCCGCGAAGCTCGTCCACGAAGAGCAAATACCTATCTTCGTTGGTCGGGGGCGTATAAGTAAATCCAAGAGCTCCTCCGGATCTAGGCAGTATGCTCAGCTTCTGATATATGAACAGAATGGTACATAAAATCTTAATCATGTTTCTACTCTTTGGTTGGTAAAGACTCCAAGAAAAATGAAACTAAGAAAGTAAGACCAGATTAAAGTTATTACAAGCACTACCTTAGAAAAACATTTT